AAAAAAAAAAAAAAAGAATTTGAAGAAAAAAAAAGAGAAAGGAAAAAGGAGGCAACACCAAGGTGTCTTGTCAGTGTGAAGCAGATCATTACTCCTAGAAGAAAAAGTCAGCATTGACTGGAGTCGTTGGGGGAACCTAGGTAGTTGTTTTTCGTTTTGTTTTGTTTTGTTTTGTTTTTGAGAAAGGACCTCATTCAGTCACCCAGGCTGGAGTGCAATGATGTGGTCAGAGCTCACTACAGCCTCCAACTCCTAAGCTCAAGCAGTCCTCCTGCCTCAGCCTCCTGAGTAGCTGGGACTACAGACATGCACCACCACACCTGGCTGATTTTTAGTTTTTCTCTTAGAGATGGGTTCTCCTCCCATTGCCTCTACTGGTCCCAAACTCCTGGCCTGAAGCAGTCCTCCTGCCTTGGGCTCCCAAAGTGGTAGAATTATAGGCATGAGCCACCATGCCCGGCCTAGCACTAGACTTTGACCTGTGGTAAAACTGGACTAGGAGGAATGTAGTGAAGGATATTTGAAGTTGATAGAAGACAGCCTGAGTGCAGATGTCCTTTATACTTGTAATGTTCACAGTGGCTAATGAACTGAAACATTGCTTTCATGAATTGTATTAAATTAGGGATTCCTATTTAGTGCACATACTACTTTTTCAAACACATGAGTGAAAATACAAATCAGAAAGATTCCTAAATAGCTTAGCTTAAGATTTTGGCTCTCTTGTGATGAAAACCTATCCCAGAACATTTTACATGTTTTTGTTTTTATTTTTGTTTTGAGATGGAGTCTTGCTCTGTTGCCTAGGCTGAAGTGCAGTGGCACAATCTTGGCTCACTGCAATCTCTGTCTCCCAGGTTCAAGCGATTCTCCTGCCTTAGCCTCTCGAGTAGCTGGAATTACAGGTGCATGCCACCACGCCCGGCTAATTTTTGTTTTTTTTAGTAGAGATGGGGTTTTACCATGTTGGCCAGGTTGGTCTCGAACTCCTGACCTCAAGTGATCCACCCGCTGAGTCTTCCAAAACGCTGGGATTACAGGCGGGAGCCACCACACCTGGCCCTTTTACAGGTTTTTGTTTCTTAACATACTTTTAAAGACCAATGGATGGACACATCCTGTTTTTTCCAAATTACCTTTTGAAAAATAATTTTGAGATGATAATCTGCTCTTTTTAAGACATATATTTTCCTGGTTTTATTTTTTCATTTTTAAAATTATTTTGATTTTTAGTGAATTATATAGTTTTTCCACTGTTACCACAAAAGGTTTTATAAAATTTCCAACACACTAAAATGTTTTCTCATGTCCGTTTGTGGGAATCTTCACTCCCACGCCAGGCCCCCAGCAACCACTGATCAGCTTTCTGTCTCTGTAGTTTTCTATTTCCAACTTAGTGAGTTTTAATAATAAAAATCAGTACATACCAGAAGCTCAGAAAATAATCTGTTTAGTGACTAAAATATCTAAAATTTTCCTTTGTTTAAGTAGAGTTTACTATTTAACCATTGTGATACATGAGCTATGAGTGAGTTTTTTTGTTTTAATTTTTCCTTTTTTTAAAAAAAAATTAAAAAATATGGAATGCTTCACGAATTTGTGTGTCATCCTTGCGCAGGGGCCATGCTAATCTTCTCTGTATCTTTCCAATTTTAGTATATGTGCTGCCGAAGCGAGCACTAATTTTTATTTTTTGTGATGGAGTCTTAGTCTGTCACCCAGGCTGGAGTGCAGTGGCTCAATCTCAGCTCACTGCAACCTCTGCCTCCTGGGTTCAAGTGATTCTCGTGCCTCAGCCTGCCAAGTAGCTGGGACTATAGGCACGTACCACCACACCCAGCTAATTTTTGTATTTTTAGTGGAGACCGGTTTAACTATGTTGGCCAGGCTGATTTCAAACTCCTGGCCTCAAGTGATCTGCCTGCCTTGGTCTCCCAAAATGTTGAAATTACAAGCATGAGCCACCATACCCAGCCACATTTGACTTTTAAGGAAAGATTTCGGCCAGGTGCGGTGGCCCGTGCCTGTAATCCCAGCACTTTGGGAGGCTGAGGTGAGTGGATCACCTGAGGTCAGGAGTTCGAGACAAGCGTGACCAATGTGGTGAAAGCCTGTCTCTACTAAAAGTACAAAAATCAGTGGGGCCTGGTGGCGGGCACCTGTAATCCCAGCTACTCGGGAGGCTGAGGCAGGAGAATCACTTGAGTCTGGGAGGCAGAGGTTGCAGTGGGCCGAGATTGTGCCACTGCATTCCAGCCTGGGCAACAAGAGTGAGACTCCATCTCAAAAAAAAAAAAAAAAACGAAAAAGTTTCATCCATGGTCAGTCAAGAAAAATCATATTTTTGTGTCAAACTTAGATATTCTTTTTGGTTTTTTTTTGAGACGGAGTCTAGCTCTGTCGCCAGGCTGGAGTGCAGTGGGGCAAATGCGGCTCACTGCAACTTCCGCCTCCGGGGTTCAAGCGATTCTTCCGCCTCAGCCTCCCAAGTAGCTGGGACCACAGGCATGTGCCAACATGCCCGGCTATTTTTTGTATTTTTAGTAGAGACGGGGTTTCACCATATTGGCCAGGATGGTCTCGATCACTTGACCTCGTGATCCGCCCACCTCGGCCTCCCAAAGTGCTGGGATTACAGGCGTGAGCCACCGCGCCCGGCCTATTCTTTTTAAGCTATATATAATCTTCAAAAAGATAGTTATAATTGTGTTTATCATTAAAATAGCTGATTTGTCCCTTTAGGACAGTGGTTGTTCATGGATTTACCCTTGGAGAAAAGGGAGAAAAGATGTCCAAGTCTCTTGGGAATGTCATTAATCCTGATGTTGTCATTAATGGAGGACAAGTAAGTGATTCTCTAAAATATATTTTATTTTCGTTTTAAGGGTCTTAAATTGGCAGCCAGAGCCCTTAATATAGTTACGTCAGTGTGAAAATAAAAACTATCCGTTACACTCTCAAGTAACACATGACTTCAGTGAAAAAGGCAGAGGCCGGGATTGGGCCCTTTTATCTCATTCCAGGTCTGACTCTCCAGTTAGGTCCCAACCCATGCTGTTTCTTTTTTAATCGTCTGAGAGGTTTTACAGTGTGATTTCTAAGTGTAATGATCCGGTTTTCACACTGTTATGTGAGGTGTGCCTCCCTCAAACCTTTTGAGCACATTACTGTCTGACGTGGAAAAAAAAAGTGTAATTGTATAGTTAAATGGAAATGATAACAGAAAAAATGAGATTGCAACTTCTAAATGCACATTTCATTATTATATTGTTGGAAATCATACACTTTATTAAAGCGGGCCTTAAATGTACGTCAAATCTGAGGTTGCTAACAGTTTGGGGGTTTTTCACTTTGTAACTCCTGTGGCTTTTTACTGCCCTCCTGACATCCTGTAATCATTCATTGTTTTGTGTACAGAGTTGCTAGGAAATAGTGAGAGGAAAAGCAGGCCTTCCCCTTTCCCTCCCTTATTATAGAGACCTCCCCAGCACGGCTGTGTGTCTAACCACCAGCTATAGTGGCTGGAAACGGACATGACCAGGGACGAGATTAGGTATTAGCATCTGTAGAGCATGCTCTTTCTTTTTCCAGTTTTTAGACACAGCCTAATTTGAGATTGTGAGCCCTTATTTCATTACAGTGCTAATATAGTTTATACTTACATTGTGCTAAAAAATTTCTGAAAAGGAGCTTTACCTAAAACATTGTTCAGCTAATTGGAATTGAAAGCCATTCTGTTTATATTTTCTTCCTCAATGAAAAGGATCAAAGCAAAGAGCCTCCCTATGGTGCTGATGTCCTTCGCTGGTGGGTAGCTGCGTCCAATGTCTTCACTGAAGTTACAATTGGCCCATCCGTGCTCAATGCTGCCAGAGATGATATTAACAAGGTTAGAACCATTATTCTTCCTGTTTCTAAAGGACAAGTTTACCAAATCATTGTTTTAAAAAATGAGACACATTTTGTTTGGCACTGATAAGAACCGAAAGAAAATGAGTTCTCCATATATTGTGAGCTTTTAAAAATCTCCTGTGTTGGCCGGGTGCGGTGGCTCATGTCTGTAATCTCAGCACTTTGGAAGGCCGAGGCAGGCAGGTCACGAGGTCAGGAGTTTGAGACCAGCCTGGCCAACATGGGGAAACCCTGTCTCTACTAAAAATACAGAAATTAGCTGGGTATGGTGGTGCATGTCTGTAGTCCCAGCTATTTGGAAGGCTGAGGCAGGAGAATCGCTTAAACCCTGGAGGTGGAGGTTTCAGTGAGCCGAGATCGCGTCACTTACTGCACCACTGCACTCCAGCTTGGGCAACAGTGAGACTGTCTCAAAAAAAAAAACCAACAACAACAACAAAAAAAAAACCTGTGTTAATTTATTTGTTTCAAAACATTAGTAGGAATACCAGTAATTTTATATAATTTGTATATGATATCCTTGATATTTTATTAATACAATATATAAAATGTAATATAGCATAGTATAGATTATATTAATTTTTCATACTTTTATGCACTCAATAACCTTTCACATTTTTCCATGTATCTGTATTTTCACCTGTGAAGCAAGTGAAGTAACATTGTTCTGACCTACACACATGAATAAACTGGGCTACTGAAAGGTGATTTGCCCTAAAATCCAGTGGTGGTTTCTATAACTGGGCTATTGGAATAAGAGTTTGTTGTGTACTTTTTGTTTTTTTGCATTTGTAGTCTTATTTGGAATGATAATAAAAGTACCCCATTAAGAAAGTGACAAGGGTTGGATGACTCCAACTTAGTTACAGAGTAATAAAATAACTTCTCAGTGAAAAGTGAAGGTACATTAAGTGTTTTTAACTGCATATTTTTTCTTCCTATGAATAGCTTAGGAATACACTCCGCTTTCTTTTGGGAAATGTGGCTGATTTCAACCCAGAAACCGATTCCATCCCTGTTAATGATATGTATGTCATAGACCAGTATATGCTACACTTACTGCAGGATTTGGCAAACAAGGTAAATATAAATTAATAAACTTCTGGAAACTAGAAATATCAGTAATGTTGTGTGTTAACATTTTAGTTTTATCTGAGTAGAACAAACCTTGCTGGAAATAGTAACTATTGCACTCTTGAAAAAATTACCCTTGCTAAATTGCACACATTCCCAGGTTGGCTTTAGGTATAAAGTGTTACCAGATCTTTCGAGTTTCTCAAAAGATTAGAGCAAAACATCCAGACTTCCCCTCAGATCGGATTTTTCTCTCACATTTAGCTCTATTTCTCCAACAAGAAGAAATAAAGTGGAGTTATACTTTATTGATCTGCAGTTGTGCTCCTCATAACAAAGTACAGAAATAACCAAAACGACTATTCCTGTGTCTCATAAGATATTTGCTCATTTTTACATAGACTTAAATAATTTGTGTTTTCTCGCTGGGTGCGGAATCTCACACTCTGCTTGAGGCCAGTTCACGACCAGCCTGGGCAACAGAGCAGGAACCCATGTCTACAAAACTTATAAAAATTAGCTGGGCATGTTAGTGGGTGCATGTAGTCCCAAGCTCCTCGGGAGACTGAGGCAGGAGGATCACTTGAGCCCAGGGTTTTGAGGCTGCAGTGAGCTGTGGTTGTGCCACTGCACTCTATGCTGGTTGACAGAGTGAGACCCTTTAAAAAAAATTGTTTTCTCACAATTGGAAGTGTGTTTGTATTAATGTGCCCTTAAGTCAGAGATGTACACATCAGTTTTGCCCAAATGAAAAATAAATGGCATAAATGAGGGAACACTAATGAACTGTTGGTAACTTCCACTATTTGCTGTTGCAAAAATGGTGTGATTTTATTATTTAAAATCTCATTCTTGGTTAATGTTCTTTCATAGTTCTCAGAGTAAAATAGTATTTTCTGAGTATAGTCAAATGTGTTTTCCAGAAATGACATTTGGAGGATTTCCAGGAGTTTTGCATATTGCCTGTTTTGTAGTTGTTTCTTTGAAACATATTTTTGAAAGGAGCACATTTTGCTTGCGATGACTTATATTTTCATTTGCCTGTCTCAGCTTCCAAATTTATTTTGGCTTTTTTGTTCCCTAGATTACCGAATTATACAAACAATATGATTTTGGAAAAGTGGTTCGGCTGTTACAGACATTTTATACCAGAGAACTCTCTAACTTTTATTTCAGTATAATCAAAGATAGGTATGTATGACTAAATATTAAAATGCTTAACAATGGCCAGGCGCGGCGGCTCACACCTGTGACCCCAGCACTTTGGGAAGTTGAGGAGGGTGGATCACACGAGGCCAGGAATTTGAGACCAACCTGGCAAACATGGCAGACCCTATGTCTACTAAAAATACAAAAATTAGCTGGGCATGGTGGCGCATGCCTGTAATCTGCCTACTCAGAAGACAGAGGCACGAGAACCACTTGAACCTGGGAGGCGGAGGTTGCAGCGAGCCAAGAGTGTGCCCCTGCAGTCCAGCACCCCGTCTTATTTGAGACAGAGGTGACAGAGCGAGACCCCGTCTCAAACAACAACAACAAAAAAATCCTCAACAACTATTTCTTGAGTGTCTACTCTGTTTGGCAAACATCGGGGATACAGTGATGAGCAAGATGGGCAGTGTTGTGCAGTTCAGATTGGGCTCCGGAGTCAAGCCTGCATATAAAGGTTTGCCCTCCTGCTTACTAGCTTTATGATTTGGGGCAACTTCTTCTGTAATCTGTTTCTTCATCTGTAAAATGAGTATAATACCTCGTGATTGAGAAGGAAAAGCAGTAATGTGCTTAACCCTGTGCTTGATAAAGTTCAAAAACTAATCACTGCTGGTATCAGATGATGAACATAATGCTTGTTCTCCAGAGTTCTCAATCCTGAGGGGAAGAGAGAGAGAGATATGTGCAACTATATGGTAACCGCTTATAATGTTAGCAGTATCCTTGCAGAAGAGGGCTTAATGCCAGTCTTCATTTGTTGCTCCAGTGTGCAGGTGACGGTCCTGTCTTTATGGTAATGAGTCCAGTCTGAGGTGTTAGCCTCAGCCTGTCAGCGCCCCAAGGACCTTGCACATAGGGATTATAACTCCCTCTCCTTAAACACTGCTTCTCTTAAAACACTAACAGCATAGTAATGGATGGTATTTAACCACATGTTAAATACCATCAACTAACGTATTCATAGTCCTTTAATACAGTAGTCTAGACTCTAGTTGTCATCTACCTGAAAAACAGATAATAGAGCATAGCCATGGGTGCTTTCGAGGAGGTGGGTACACCTGGACAGAGTAAAATTGTAGGAGTGTATTGTATCCTTTAAATAGGAGATGATTAGAGCCATAGGATTAGCCACTACGCATAAAGTCAACCTGAGGCAGGTCCTATCTTGGTGACCATATGTATAAAGTGTTGTCAACTGCTGAATGAGTTGTTCTTGTTCAGGCTTTATTGTGAAAAGGAAAATGACCCCAAACGACGCTCTTGTCAGACTGCATTAGTTGAAATTTTGGATGTAATAGTTCGTTCTTTTGCTCCCATTCTTCCTCACCTGGCTGAAGAGGTGTTCCAGCACATACCTTATATTAAAGGTAAGGAATACTTCATTTATTCTCTTAATGAGAAGATCCCTGATGAAGGTGCAACTTCTGATTTTATCTCCTTCATATAAGGGCACTTACCCATCTACATTGACTGCTCTGTGACACAGTGTGTCTTGGTCGTGTGTTTGTGTCTGTACCTGTTTGTAGAGGAGCAGGGTAAATTTCACAGTGACCTTGCCATCTGCAGTGCTTTCTGAAATGTATTAGCAGCTTGACAGTATCAAGAAATCACTTTTTTTCTTAAATACCTTTATAAATGATCTGAAATGGCTGGGTGCGGTGGCTCACACCTGTAATCCCAGCACTTTGGGAAGCTGAGGTAGGCGGATCACTTGAGGTCAGGAATTCAAAACTAGCCAGGCCAACACGGTGAAACCCCATCTCTACTAAAAATACAAAAACTAGCTGGGTGTGGTGGCATGCATCTGTAATCCCAGCTACTCGAGAGGCTGAGGCAGAAGAATCGCTTGAACTTGGGAGGCGGAAGTTGCAGTGAGCTGAGGTCATGCCACTTGCACTTCAGCCTGGGTGACAGAGTGAGACTGTCTTAAAAACAAAAAAGGTTCTGAAATGTATTTTAGGTTTTATTAAAACAAAATATAGTGCCTTTTAGTGAATATTTTATGATAGTTGTTTTCTTCTGATTGTATTAAGTTTGTAAAAAATTAGCAACTATAGAAGTGTAGAAAGCGGGGGAAGTCACTTATAATCTTAGTACTGAGAGCTGTTAATATTGGGATATTTCTATTTTTTCTAAGCATCCTTTTTTTTGAGATCTTACATATTTTCTCTTTTGTTTAAATGTAACAAATGTTTTCCAATGCCGATGTAAATGTTTTCTAAATAATTAGGATGGCTCCATATTTCATCACTTGATTACCATAAATAACAATTCTTATTTCCCATTAATGGTTAGAGTTTCCTATACAGTTTAGGATGTATGTAAAGCAGTTTACTGTTTTTGTTCTTCTGAAGAGCCCAAGAGTGTTTTCCGTACTGGGTGGATTAGTACTAGTTCTATCTGGAAGAAGCCTGGGTTGGAAGAAGCTGTGGAGAGCGCATGTGCAATGCGAGATTCATTTCTCGGAAGCATCCCTGGCAAAAATGCAGCTGAGTACAAGGTCATCATCGTGATAGAACCGGGACTGCTTTTTGAGATAATAGAGGTACGCCTCAGTATGTACCTTTTGAAATGGTATTAGTGTCAGAGCTTTCCCTAAAATTTACTTTTAAAACGTGTCTAAATTAAAAAAATAATTTAGAAATTAGGGTTTCTGTCTTCTAATCCTGATATTATCGCTGATTCTTTGTTTCCTGCTTCACTGTGTTCTTTTCCATGTCTTGTAAAACATGTTCTGTGCATGTAACGTGTACATGTTACTCTGTAGGAACAGGAAAGGTATAAAGTTCTGTTTCAAATGAAAGGCCTCAGGACTATTTAAAAGATAGGTGACATGTAAATTGATCTCAGTCATCTTTGAATATATAAAAATTGGGAGTTTTGTATTAAGGGTCTGGTTTCCTGAGAATTTCGTCCATCTGGACCAGAATTAAACCCAAAAAGAGTTTCCATTTTTATTTTGTGAGATCTGAAGAAAATTCACTTTGTCCAGCAAGCTGCAACATGTATTTCAAAGCATTTATCCTATGTTTATTTCCAGAAGGGCCACCAGACTCTTCTTCTTGGGATTTTTAGGGGTTGATTGGCCAGATTGGTTTATAGCTTAACATAATGATGTGATTTTTTTTCCAGTCTAAATGCTTAAGAAGAGAATTGGCAATGAATATATTTTTAAAAAGTTTTGTTAGTGTCAGGTTTCTAAAAAATACCCATCTCATTTTATTTGGTAAGTTCAATTTAAATGTTTAACGATGTAATTATCGTGATTGATATTTGAGTTTGAAATAGCTAGTAGGTATAATAAGATGTTCACATTTTAAAATGTAAACTTGGGAAGTCTCCATTTTGCAGGTGAGGAAGTGAGGCCTGCTGAAGCTGTGACCTAGCCAGGGTAACACAGTCCAGTCCTGGCCTTTTTTCCTACATATTATGTTTGTAGTTTGTTTCCTTTGACTTCAGTCTTTCTAAGTAATAAACTGAAAAGAATAACAGCTTGTTTTGGATCAATTTTACTGTAAAAAATACTTTGGAATTTTCAAAAACATGGATGTATTTTCCTTAGGAATCATACCAACTAGCTGTCAGGTGGAGTGGTGGTTCTATCCATTACTAATTGCATCAACTTGTTAAAACCAAATTAATCTCTTTGAGTCTCCTGTTTCTCATGGGCTTTAATTTTTTAAAGCAATGTCTGTGTTGGTTAGCTTACAAACTCACTTTGAAGATCAAAATTACAGTGATAAATGTCTTTATCAGACAAATTCGGTCTACTTCAGAAGCATTCTACATATTGTTTATAGATTGCCACGATCACTATACATTACAAAAGCAGGTCCTTGTTGAGACAGTATTTTAGCCCATCAACCAATGATACATGAAAAAATAAAGGCTTTGAGGCTGACAGACCAGAGCTTGACTTGCAGTTGAGAAACTTGGGCAAGTTAACCTCTCTTTGCTTGTTTCTTCATTTGTAAAGTTAATACAATAAACACCATACAGGCTTTTTGTGTGTGACAGTTCGAAATAAGAGACAGTTTAGGATCTAGCAAAGTGAAGTGCCTGGCATTCTCAATAAATACTGTTGATGGAAATCTTTAGTTAAAACCTTTTATGATAATTAGGCTTGATGCATTTAATGGTGTTTGCTCAGGATGCAACGGTATGCCAAAGGGTTCTTCTCTAAACATGAGATTTTATAGTGTCTTTTTCTAACCTCAGTTTATGATAAAAATTTAACCTAAACTGTAACTTTCACATGCTTCCTTCCAGATGCTGCAGTCTGAAGAGACTTCCAGCACCTCTCAGTTGAATGAATTAATGATGGCTTCTGAGACAACTTTACTGGCTCAGGAACCACGAGAGATGACTGCAGATGTAATTGAGCTTAAAGGGAAATTCCTCATCAACTTAGAAGGTAAGAAGGACATGAAAATAACAAGTAACATCTGGAGAACTGAATAATCATAAGCCATCTCCAACTTTCCAGTGAACTAGATTTATTCTAAAGGCAGTTATATACTTGGAATACATCCTTCTATGGAAATAATATAAATGGTTACCAAGTTTCTAAGCCCACTCTTAAAACTCTCTTATCTGATGATCCTGGGAACTGAGGGCTAGGGACAGAAGAGACTTTCTTTCTGTCCTTTGAATAAATATTGGTTATTGTACGTGAGGTTTATGTTAGTCTGACTTGCTCCCATTTCCCTTTGTGTCCCCCTGCCTTGATACTTAGTACCCCAGTACTGGCGCAGGCCTGCCCACCATTCCTCAGTGTTGATGCAAAAATTTCCTGTTAATGTATACCCCAGATTAAAATATTTAGCCATTCTTTTGAGGGGTTAAGGAGGAAGTTTTGTTGAGCTCATTCTAACGATAGTATGTCATAAGGAAGCATTTTGTAGATGCTTGTTTTATAGATTTAAAAAGTTAACCTGGTTCATCTTCATTGGTGGAGGTCGAGTTGCATTAATAAAGAAAAATAAGCAGGTATCTTGGCAAAGTTTATGCTACTTGCATTTTTCATAGCTTTCGGGTACCAGGAGATGGGAAGTTAACTACAGGCATCAGTTCAAATTTGGGCGTGGCACCACAGACCATGTAGTAAAAGTTCTGGCTTAATTTACTTTTTGTAATTTTATTTTCCTGAGACTGAGTCTTGCTCTGTTGCCCAGACTGGAGTGCCATGGCACGATCTCAGCCCACCACAACCTCTGCCTCCCGAGTTCAAGCAGTTCTCCTGCCTCCCCAGTAGCTGGGAATACAGGTGCATGCCAACATGCCTGGCTAATTTTTTTTTGTATTTTTAGTAGGATAGGTTTTCACTATGTTGGCCAGGCTAGTCTCGAACTCCTGACCTTGTGATCGGCCTGCCTCAACCTCTCAAAGAGCTGGGATTACACGTGTGAGCCACTACACCCGGCCTTTTTTCTGGTTTTTTTTT